AAAAAGTTCTTTCAATTTTAATAGTAAAAATTGACATGTTTCACAAAAATTTTACATAGCTATGACAGTAGACATGTCGATCACGTGAAATCTTGTCTGACTGTTACGGTATTTACGGTATTTATGGTATTTACGGTATTTACGGTTTTAGGTATTTACAGTTTTACGGTTTTATGGTTTTATGGTTTTACGGTTTTACGGTTTTACGGTTTTATGGTTTACATTATTTACGGCAAATAATACGGCACATGCTGTAACCGTATTATTTCTGTCTGGGAATTTCAACGACAAGTATAGGTTCAACTGTTGCAAATGCCTGAGCCTTGTTGTGAAGCTTTGAACATAGCTTGACCTAAAAGAACATTCCATTTAAATTTATCAAAAATTATTGAAATAAGAATTATTGTGACTTACCTGAATCAACACCATTATCATTGACCCATCTGAAAACTCTACAAAAAGCACAATATCTGGTCCAGCATAGTCATCAGGAATGAAAAATGGAACATTACACTCTCTCTTAGCAACTGAACAGAGAAAGTCATAAAGCTTGACTTGTGAATTACTTTTTTGACACAATACTGAAGAAGATGCATCATTTGTGAAACCAAAAATTCTTGCTGTTAGAGAATAAAAATATGGGAGTTCTTTAATATCTTTAAATAGAGGATGTTCACATAATCGTGTTTTTTCATTGAATATAGAATCTTTTAATTTCTGGAATGTGTATATATATATAAATATTTTTTCAGAATATCTAATCCAAGACATCAACATGTAAAACTGTAAAATATACCTGTGGAATGTACTGTTCCCATAGAAATCCACATATTGATGGATTATAGTGTTGCAATGTCATTTGCTTTATCACAAAATTCTCAACATCATTACTTTCATTGAAAAATTTTAAACCAGCTGCAACTGCAAGTGGTTCATCAACAATAGCTTTCAAAGTGTAAATAGAATGGTTTTTTAAATGAGCAAACCCAATCTCCATCAAGTACATTTCCTTATCATTGGAAAAAGAGCAGGCAGACCTGTTAAATACTTTGTAAGCACAGCTTTTTCTACTAGTTGAAGAACTGATATGCCATCAACATAGTCAGGTCGAGGTTTGTTCTTTGCCATCAGATCCTTAAGAGGTTTAATGAGAGAATAATCAGAGGTGAAAAGAGTGGCAGAAAGAGCAGGACCTTCATTTTCTATATCAGCAATAATATGCTTTATTGTTTTTAATGCTAAAGTATGCTCAAAGCCACTAAAAACTAGTTCTAAGTATGATGCTGTAAACCTGAATCGTCCATGTAACCAGATAAATGCATCTTCTAATGAATGATCATCAATCTCCCCAACCTCAATAAAACATCTTATAAATTTTTGAAATGATTCATAATCATCAAATCTGCCAAAGTTGATAAATCTTTCAGGTTCCAAAGAAAACTTGGAAACTTTTGACTGTAAGATTTTCATTACATTTGTAATTGAGAGACCAGAACCACATAGATATAGGCAAACTCTTGATTGTAGAAATGTTTCCACTGAAATGCTCAGAAGTGGACGCAAATTCTGAATAGATTTTGATTGATCAACCTTAAGTAAATCAATTTGTCAATAAATCACCAAAAATTAATAAATAATACCTTTTGATCAATCACCTTATTTTTATCATTAGGAAATGGTTGTGAACTTGATAAAAACATATTCACCATTTCATAGCCATCAATTTGTGCTTCATCATAGCACAGGTAAAAAAATGAAAAATCGGTAATACTCCCGATTTTTATCAAATTGATCAAATGTAATAGTAACCAATAAATCATAGATTCTTACCAGTTTTAGAATTGATAAAAATTGGGTTTTCTGAATTGCTACTATTTTTGAATAAGCCAATTAGTTAAAATTCAGGATTACCAATTATCAACCAATCTTTGTATAATCCATTGATGATTAGCATTGTCAAAAATCAGTAAATAATCTGATTTATTAAATGCAAATAATTTATTTAATGCTACAGTATATATACAAACTACAGATTTATTTTTC